TGATGGCAGCATCGGCAGGTAAACAACAATTGCAACTTTGTATTTGTATATTGAGATCTACTAGTGCGGACAGACCTTGCAAATCAATACTGTTGGGCCAGTATGGCTTTTTCAATTTTAGTTCTAGTCTAGTTCTATTATATTAAGTGCAAGAATTGCAAATAGTTCTTGTCCCTTTTTTATGCTGTATCAAGAATAGTTCTAGTTCTTGTTACTGCCAGTAAAAGCTGTTGGTTTAGTTTAGTTATAGCTCCCCATGTATAACTTGAGTGTTTAATCCATTCACAACTGAGTTAAGGTCCTTTAAAAGTAAAACATATTATATACCAGAGCTGGGGCCTGATTGTGTTCACACTAGAGTGGTTTCAAGTCACTGCCTATCAGTGCCAACATATATATATACAACTATAACAAAGTCAATGGCAGTCAATCAGTCTAATATTTATGCAGTACACAATTAAATTGCTACATACTATAGTGTCAACTTAATTGACAAGATGTGCACATTATTGCAGCTGTATAGACTTTAAGATCAAATAATATGACAGGTTTACTTGATAAATAATCTAACAAAATTATATCCTATCTTATTGTTATAGGCAAGGAGCTTACTATGGCAGCAGTCATAAAGATATTTGGTTCTTCTACTGCCCACTACATGACAATAGGAGCTGGATTGCATGTAGATGTGTCTGATCTGAAGCCAATACCAGGAATAGCAGATACCAATCTTAATTTGGTATTCCAGAGGTGGTTTGATGCTGATAGAGATGTCAATTGGGATACATTAATAAAACTTTGTGATGACTTTCGTGATCAACTGGGCAAAGCAAAATCTAACCTTCTGGCATATATAGGTAAAAATTAATCATATTATTAATATAATAATTATTGATTTTTAAAAGGAGGTTTGGCCGAGAGCCATGAGACTGGGACAAAACAAGAAAGTAAAAAGATTGATCCCAAGTGAAATAATATCCTTTACTGACTCCAATTAATGAATCTGCTGTTGTATTTACAGAGAACCACTTGAAAGTGCAGCAGCTGGTAAAGACAAGAGTAAAAGTGATGATCAAAGTATGTTAAACTAATTTTGATAATTTCATAGTTTCATACATCATACAATAGAGTCTGATCCACCTCCAGATGTCAGCAAATATTGCCCAAAACTGGATGATATTGAGGAAAAAATTTTGACAAAAAAATTCTCAAAGCTGACCGGAGAAGAGAAAGAGTTCATAAAAAAAGTCCGTTACATTCTGGTGACCGCCACACCTATAGAATACCGTGCTGTGATGGGTTCAATTAAACCTACTGGAGATGATGGACAATATATTAAAGTTATCACTAAAGATCGATCAGCAAATTTTATCCTGGGGAAGTACGAGTCATGCAATGTTGCAATAACTAGGACAGGCCAGGAGCCAAATGAGACTGAAGATATTCTTGTTTCAGTACAAAAAGACGTGGAGGCTAAGTATGTCATTGCTATTGGGATATGCTATGGAGCAAAGGAGAGCAAAACTGACGAACTTGATGATAAAACAAAATTAGGTGACATTATTGTTGCCAAAAGTATCATTGACACTGAACAGCAGCGTATTGAAGGAAAAGATAGAAGCACTATACCTACCGAGTACCACTGTGGAACAAATCTTTTTAATTTGTTTAAACACAGCGAAGTTTTTAAAATTGAAAAAAAAACAGTTAAAGTTCATCATCAAGGTTCTCTGGCCTCCGAATTCACACTGTTTCGTAGCAAAGAAGCAAAAGAAGAGAAGTTGAAATATGTCCAAAAAGCACTTGGAGGAGAAATGGAAGCAAAAGGTATTTATAGGGCTGCCAAGAGAGGAGGAGGATTTGAATGGATTGTAATAAAAGCTATCGTCGACTGGGGAACAGAAGAAAAAGACAAAATGTGGCAACCGTTTGGAGCTGTCTCATGTGCAAGATTTGTCCTACAGTGCTTGGATGACGAGGATGAACCATAAGTATTAAGCTAATACTGCTTATTAATCTAAACTAGTTTGATATTGACATAATTATTAATTACTTGTACCTTTTAGATCTTTCTTTTACTAGTGATAAACATTAATTTTCTGATGTGAATACTTATTTCTTATGTTAAACAGCTAACTTTGCTACATCTGTCAGCTATACCTGTGACAAATGAATGACAAATGTACCTATTGTAACAGTGGCCCTTAA